TTTCCATTATTTCAAAGATTCTTCACGTTACCCCTCTATAGTCACAACCATTCTGCTCCCTCAAACTCCATTTCTAGTGCCTGGCAACCACTAATCTATGCTCCATCTCTATAATCTGCCATTCTAAGAATGTATATGGGACCACATGGTTGCTACATTCTAAAACTTTTTTTTTTTTTTTTTTACGGGGCACCTGGGTGGCTCAGTCGTTTGAGCATCAGACTTTGGCTCAGGTCATGATTTCACGTTTGGTGAGTTTGAGCCCTATGTTGGGTTCACGGATGTCAGCACAGAGCCTGCTTCTGATCCTCTGTCCCTGTCTCTCTTTGCCCCTCCCCTATCTGTGCTCTCTCTCTAAAATAAATAAAATTATTAAAAAAATTGTTTTTATTTTTACTTGATATAATTACTTTAAGATTCACCTAGGCTGCTTTATCAATGTTTGTTTCTTTTTATTTCTGCATAGTATTCTATGGTGTCCATGCAGCATAGTTTGTTTAACCATTCACTCAATGAAGGGCATTTGGGTTGTTTCCAGTAAAAAGATACTACTATATTTTTAAACACAGAAATTCTGTAATAAGCATCTTTCCCAAAAGCACTTTAAAAATGAGGGCCTTCTGTTTGTTTAAATCATGTTTTTGCAAACATTTACAGTTTCTTCCCCAAAACATTAAACCTTTTTTTAAAAAATTAAATTCCATAGCTTCTTTATTAAGAAACAAAGCATCAAAGTAAATCTATAGTTAAACTTCTAACTCAGACTATAAGGTGATGTATCAGTTATGGAATTTGTTTCAAGCAGAAGACATGTTAGTGAAGTTAACTGTACAACTAGCCCACAAAATTAATTTTTATCTGTTACTGATTAAACCAAAACTGAGAGAAGTCAAATTATACTACTTTAAACTCTCAAGCAATACAATATCAAATTATTGCCTTTCAAGAAGAAAGGTCAAGAATAAAAACAAATAGCAGTGCCTGGGTGGCTCAGTCGGTTAAGTGTTCAACTTCTGGTTTTGGTTGAGGTCATGATTTCATGGTTTGTAAGATCAAGGTCTGAGCAGGCTCTGCGCTGACAGGGAGGAGCCTGCTTGGGTTTCTTTCCCTCTCTCTCTCTCTCTGCCCCTCCCCCTGCACATACTCCTGTGTGTGTGGGGAGGGGGGCATGCTTTCTCTCCCTCTCAAATAAACTTAAAAAAAAAAAAAAAAGAATAAAAACAAATGTTAATTTATTTTCCATACTTAATTTCTTTTGAGGAGAAAGTAATTTCAGGGAGTTGCAGATGAAAACACTAGTCAAGTAAGGTATAAAAACAATCATTTAAACATAATATAAGCTTTAATATTTATGAAATAAGAAGGCACAAAAACCTCATGATTTCTTTAGAGAAGTGAGCTTACAAAAGATACCTTTAAAAAAGTTACAAATTTACAATTCAGAAGGCAAACAGAGAAATTCATAAAGTATAGGCTTTTAAAACTCATGGGGAAAAAAGTTTTAATAGGCATGTGTAGAGACTAAGATGGTAAGTACAGGCAAAATATACAAGGATAAAATCTGGGAAATAAGGTAGAGAACTAGCTTTGAGCCAGGATTAAATAACTCATGTCTTATTTTAACCATCACTCAATAACTAATTTAATTAAATTCTGCTTACATGCTTACATCTTATCAGGTACAAATTTATTTAATTATATAACATTATTTGGGAAGCAAAATTAACGTAATAAAATTTTGTTTGATTTTATGATTTGATTCTCTGTACATGTTTATATTACTAGTAAACATAAGATTTCACAAGGATTAAGTGCAAAATTATTTTACTTTAGAAAAATTACTATCATACTGAGAAAAACTGAAGTGTTCCTTATCTATCCCAGTTTAGTGCAATTATAAATAATAAGCTATCATCACTGTATACATGTGTGAATACAAAGACAGAGTCCTGATTCTGTGGTTTGGAACCCTGCTATTTGAAAAGTTCATTGCCATTTTGTAATCACACCTGTTTGACACACAGACTGTCAAAGAGTATTTGCAACAGATCATCAAGTGTTAATAGTGAAATTTTCTGATTCAAATAGTAATCACACATTACAAACTCATCAACTCATTATTGTAACATTTTCAAGAATGGAGAAAATAAAAGTATTATCAACTCACAGCATTTTATTTCTGAGGAACTCAAACTTAACATTAACTCAAATGGGTATAATTGGGTATTCTAAAGTGCCAATACCAGAAAATCTCATTTATTACTTAGCAAGGCATGGAAGTGCATTTCTTCTGCACAATTTTTGAAAAAGTTTTTTCAGTTTTATAAAGTATTCTGCTGCTGCCATGTAAGACTCCCCAAAGGAACATCCAATCATTCTGCATTCATTCACTATTCAGCTAAGGTGTGCTGCCTTGAACCTTGCCCAGGCTTTAAGTGTCAGAGGACTTCATAATACAACTTTTCATACTAAAGTTAAATTTGTCTACAGATACAAACTCCAAAGACACTATGATGTATGAATACCGCTACATTTTCAAGAGTGCCTAAAAAGCGAAAGGAACAATGTGTCTGGTATGTTGTTTCAAAGAAAAGAAAAACCCAAGTATGGATAAATATTGAGAATTAAAAACAGCAACAAAACTGTAGTCAGCCTATGGCTGAATGAATTCAAATGACTTACTTAATCTTAACTCTACAAGAGTTGCTTGTCAGCGGCCTGATAGCACAGTGAATATGGATAGCAACCATATAAACCAGACCTTGAAACCTTCATCAGCAAACTAAACTTTAAAAAGATATTACAAAAATTTATCACTACAACAATTTCCCACATATCTTTTCCCCAAATAATTTACTTGAAACATATTCCACAAACATGTGGATTTTAATGCAAAAATTAAAAACCGTCCATAAAACAAACAACTCTTCAGTATCTGAATAATCAATTTCCCACATATCTTTTACTAAAAATGGCTAGCTGCAAACTGCACCAATTTAAGTCCCTACATAAATGAAAACTCCCATAGTACTCCTCTGCCCCACAAGTTCTGAGGCTGCAACATCTTGTGCATGTAAATAACAAACTCACTCTATTATGAAGCATGAAAATAGTATGTTAATATTTAATAATGCATACTATGCACTAAACACGATGGTAGGGTTTTTATATACTCATCTCTAATCCAGATAACTCCAAGAGTTAAGTGCAAACATCCCCATTTTATGGACGACTGAACTGAAGCTCATAGAAGGATCCCACAGCTAATCAGAGAATGCACAAGCCTCCTGTATTTTCATCATTTCTTTCTGTACATGAAGTATATGAAACCTGAAAGCATCACTTCTCTAATATATCAATTAACCAAGTTTTAGAAAAGGCTAAGTTAAGCAATGGGTCCTTTGTGGGGAACTGAGGGAACTTACCTTTCAGAGTTATGTGTTTTCTTTTCTTTTCTTTTTTTTTTTTTTTTTTTTAGGAGCACACATCCACATTTCTTCCAGATTCTAAATCTATGTACTTTTGTACACAAGTGTGTTATGAAATACTTAAGATCATTAAGCCAGTAGGATCTCTTAGACCCTGAAGAAATGGTCTAATAGTCAAATTCTGATTATTCTTCAGAACCAAGTTTACTCTGGTAACAAGTTACACCTCAGAAATGAGCCTAAAATGTCATCCTTAATACAGGCAGGTCTACTACAAATTACAGAATCCATTAATTAAGGACATATTCACCCAGGAAACAACAAAGTGTGAAAAGATGAGCACCTAATCAATATGTGAGGAAGAAGCATTTGCTCTCAAATATGGCCCAATATGCCTAATTTTATTAAACTGTGTTGAATTACTCCGATTATTCTGGTATTCAGCCATATTAAAGAATATTACACAGATGTTACTCTTTCCATATTACAAATAGGCTAGCTTCCAGTTAGGTAAACTTTAACCACCTTTTCACTACTCAAAAGTTTTTGTAATCAATGACATGTAAGCCAAAAGCAAAGGGTTTCTTCAGAATTACAATTAGGCAAACTATAACCATGGAGATTTACATCTACATGCACATGTTTTCTGGAAAAGCTTACTGGAAAAATCGTCTGCTGTTTACTGAGACTGACTACTGTAGCAAGCACCTCTTCAAACCTTTTACTTAACTTGCTTGCTATCCCAGGACAAGTACACACGGGACGAGACAGCCTCAAAATCTGTTTCCACATAATAACCAGCTCAAAAGCAGAGGCACTCTCCTCCGCACCTAGTTAACAGAGAACAAAAAACTTCAAAAACACAGGTCTGAGCCTAAGGTTCAACCATTATATGTGTAAATCCGACCCCCGGGGTCCGTGGCACTGACAGTCATTCAACTTTCTTTTCAATATTCCCATTGTGCTTTTTCTGGTACCACAGGCAAGATGTGCCTACATTTTTCAGCAACCGGTCGGAACACCTGATTTCTTTTTTAAAAATTCTTCCAGCGCAAAGTCGGGACCCGAGGCTGGGGTGGGCCGGGGAGCCCGAGGCACCGGCGCCCGTCACCCGAGAGCAGAACCACGCACGGCACCCGCTCCTGGCAGGCCTGCTGTGGCTGGTGTTTCTCGAGTCCCTGGGGCTGCAAGGGCAGCAAGCAGCAGCCATGGCAGGGACTCGGGAACCTTTCCCCTGCCTCCTCCGCTAGGCCTCGAGGGGTTTGCTTTTCACACGGCCCCCGGGTGGGGGCGGTGGGCACAAGGTAGTGGATGCGGCTGCAGCCGCAGCGGCGGGCCAGGAGAGCCGAGCTCCCTCAGAACCCGACCTCCCGGCGGGCTGGCAGCAGCAGCACCTCGGCGGGGCCCTGGCTGGAACGCCGATGGCTCCGCGGGGCAGGCCACCTTCTCACACACATCTCTCTCCCCAGTCTGCCTCCTTCTCCGTTAGCGCTACCGGTTGGCGGGCGGGGGAGGGGAGCGAGGCGCGTTATTCCCGGGGAGCTGGAGGGGGGAGGGGAGGGCATCTCTTACCCGCGTTACTGAGGAGGAGGAGGAGGAGGAGGCGGTTGGAGCGCGGCGCGGCGGGGCGACGGCGGGGCTGGGTGGGTGCAAGTAAGAGTCTTACGAAAGAGAATTAACCCCATCACCAGCCCGGACACCGGCTCCAGCGGCAGCCGCGGCTGGCAGAATCCCGCCCCTTCCCACCACGCACTAGCCCCGCCTCTTAGTTCTCTTTGAGGGGCAGTCGACAAATCATAGGTTATACATCCCCCGAGTGACATGAGGATCATCCAATCAGGTCTGAAGAAACGGCTTTCTCTCCACCCCTTTATCTCCTCCTGGGCCGCGGGAGAGCCGTGCCAAGTCTTCCTCCACCCTCGAGGGAAAAGGAACCAATCAGTGGTAAGTAACCGCCCTTGAAGGACGCAAAGGACAACCAATGGTAAAACTAAGAGGACAGCCATTTTGCCCACTTGTAAAAAAGCCACCTTTTCCCACGAGTTGGGAGCCTGAGGTGGATGAGTTCTGGGAGTTTTTACTGACCTGCAGATATTGGAAAGATAACCATATTTCTCCAAGGGATATTTATAGAGCTTTGTAGGAGTGAATAAACATTATCATCCTCCATGTGGAGGGAAGTGAGAAATGCTGTTAAGGGCTTGGCTCCTCCCTTTAGCGGTAACGGGTTCTAAGCCGAACACCTGGTTTCTCCAGCTTCGGGGGGGGGGGGGGGGGGCGGGGTTACTGGTCTGTTCGGCCTGCATGGGACTACACTTCCCAATGTGCTTTGCCCCCGACCCTGTGCTTTCATACTTTTACTTTTTCTGTGGCCTGACGGGAATTGTAGTTCTTGGGAGGCACCAATGGCATCTTGTTAGCCAATGAGAGGGGAAAAATATAAAAGATATGGAGTGTGGGGCGGGGAACCAGTTGCAAGTCTGTGGCGAATCCTTTTCGCCACTCTAACAGAAGAGGAAAGGCAGAGAACGGTAGTCAGAGGAGTTTTCTCAGAACGCCTTAGAGGTTTAGATTCCTGGTATTTGAACTTTCTTACTTTCAGTTTGTCCCTTTGAAGTCACTTCCGTTTTGGGGCGGACGCGAGCCAAACCTGTGGCGGGAGTTGGAGATTCTGCAGCGAATACACCAGGTGTGGCTTTCGGAGTGGCGTGGCGGGCAAGTCCGTAGTTTTTTGCTAGAGAGATAGGAAGTTGAACGGCATGTAATTGCATTTTAAGAAAGAGTGGGTGAAATGGGATGGCTGTAGTTTCCAAGTTCATAATGCCATTCTGCACCCCTAGCCTCAATCCCAGAGTCCCAATTTGCTTATCTTTTGATTGTTCACTGTTAGATTGCACACATGTATTTGTGGAAGGTGCCTCTAAGGTTTTTAGCCGCTTGCATGCCTGTAGCATGGCTTCAGGGCGTCCCTTTGACTAAAAACGGGCTTAGAAGTTCTGAGCTAACAACTTCCACTTTTACAAACACAAGTCTAAACGCTGGTGGGAAGGAGATAAGCTACAGAAGGGCACAGGATTGATACTCAAAAATGGTCCATTACATTCTTTTGCTTTTTTGAATAAAGCATCAGTGTTGTGGGACCAACAGAGCATTATCTTTTGGGTGGTTTAAGTTTTTAATCTTAATTTGATTTAACATACAGTATTACATTAGTTTCAGGTGCATAATATAGATTTCTTGTTTTTTAATGCAGTTGAGATTTTCAGTATAGTTTTGCAGTTTAGTCTTCTATAGGTGATTAGTTTTATTTTTTCGTTTCGTCGTAATTTTTTTCAGTGTAAATCAAGTTAAGAAATAGTAGTTATGGCCATTATTTTATTGTTTCCGTAGCCAGAAATGATATTAAGTCCTTTAAGTACATTTTTCCTACAGCAATCTGCAACTATTGTTATATGATATTTATAGTTGAAGAAATTGGTGTTCATTGACATTCTTTAAGACTTTAAGGTCTTAAGGGGCACTTGGGTGGCCCAGTCGGTTAAGTGTCTGATTTCGGTTAAGCGCCCGACTTCAGCTCAGCTCATGAGTTCGAGCTCACATCCAGCTCTGTGCTGACAGCTCAGAGCCTAGAGCCTGCTTCTGATTCTATGTCTCTCTCTGCCCCTCTTCTGCTCACGATCTGTTTCTTTCTCTCAAAAATAAACACACACACACACACACACTTAAATATAAAAGACTTTAAGGCCTTGATCACTAAGTTTTGGAGCGGAGATTCATATCCAAGTCTCATTCCTCATCTCTTAATCACTAATCCAGTCTCTCAAGTATTTATTGATTCCCCAAGATGTGCTATAGACACATAGGCAGTGAGAAATGTAGAATTCCATTCTAGAATTCTGAAACCAGTGGTGGCAATCACTTACTTTCTTGAAGTGTCCTTTGTTAGGTACATAATATGTACTCACAGTATTTAAAAACAGGGAAATATTGAAAAGAAGGTCATCTGTGATACTATTATCCAGGGACACCACCATTAAATTTTGGTGACTATCTTCACAGATCTCTCTATTGTAGGTACAGACATTTGTATGAATGCTCCCATCCTACCTTGCTTTTTTGTAAACCTTTTTTTTTTTTTTAGTTCAACAGTAGGCTGTTGATATGAGTAGATATATATTAATATCATCATTTTATTGCTGCCTAGTATTAAATTGTGTCTCTAACATGACCAAGCCCTACCTGATGGATATTTACATTATTTTTTATTAAGTTTGATTGTGGTAAAAAACATAAAATTTACCACCTTAACTATTTTTAAGTGTACAGTGGTGTTAGGTATATGCACCTTGTTATTTAACAGATACCTGGAACTTTTTCATCTTGCAAAACTGAAACTATACTTTTTGTACCAACAACTCCCCTTTCCCTTCCCACAGCCCTTGACATCCACCGTTCTACTTTGTTTCTAAGCACTTGGCTACTTTAGATACCTCTTATAAGTGAAATCACACAGTATCTGTCCTTTGTCTGCCTTACTTGACCTCTACATGGTGTCCTCAAAGGTCATCCATGTTGTAGCATAGGAAGGGATTTCCCTTTTCCTTTTTCACAGCTGAATAATATTCTGATGTATATCCTGCACTTAGCTTATCCATTCATCTGTCAATAAACATTAAGATTGCTTGTACCTTTTGACATGGGTGTGCACGTCTCTCTTCAGGATCCTGTTTTCATTTCTTTTGGATATATGCCCAGAAGTGGGATTGCTGGGTTAATTACTAACTTTTAATTTTTTTTTTAATGTTTTATTTATTTCTAGGAGAGAGAGAGAGAGAGACAGTGTGAGCAGGGGAGGGTCAGAGAGAGAGGGAGTCACAGACTGAAACAGGCTCCAGGCTCTGAGCTGGCAGTCAGCACAGAGCCCGACGCGGGGCTTGAACCCACGAACCGCGAGATCATGACCTAAGCGAAAGTCGGACGCTTAACCGACTAAGCCACCCAGGCGCCCCAATTACTAACTTTTAAAAGGAATACTGTTGTGAGCAACATCTTTATATGCTTGCCTAATTATCCTGTAAGTCTAACTTTTTTTTAAAAATTGCTCTTTAGAAAGGCTGTGCTCGTTTCTCTTTCTTACTAACAGTGTTTGAAAGCACCTGGTTGCTATCTTGTATTCTGTCCTATCTGATTTCGAAAAGTGATTTTTCATTACTTTGTATGTAATTGAATTCAATTGATGTTGAACATCTTTTATTGTCCATTGTTTAATCTTTTGAGTAGCCTCGTGTTATCATGGTCTCTTAATAAATTTTTTTTAATGTTTATTTATTTTGAGAAAGAGAGAACACCTGTGAGCAGGAGAGAGGGCAATGAGAGAGAGAGAGAGAGAGAGAGAGAATATTCCAAGCAGGCTCCATGATGTCAGTGCAAAGCCTGATGTGGAGCTCAAACCCATGAACCCTGAGATTGTGACCTGCGCTGAACCCAGGAGTTGGGCACTTAACCGACTGAGCAGCCCCGACGCCCCTATTCTCTTAATAATTGTAAAGGAATTACTTCTTAGGTTTTTAACTCTTTGTCATATATCTTGGAAACCTTGGTTCCCATTTTTAAATTTGTCCTTTTAACTTCTAATGCTGTTTTTCCATAACATAGTTTTAATTATTTTACTCTTGAAAACTGTCTTTTTTCCTTTAGAGTTTCTGGTTTGTGATGCTTAGAAAAGCATTTGTGATGCTTATAAATTAGATAATAAAATATAATATGTGTATATAATTTAAAATTTGTTCTTACATTTAATTTTATAATTTATATATACTTGATTTTGTTTGGACTCTGTTCTTTTTCATTGTTCTGTCTTTGACCTGTACTGTACCCATTATCTTAATTTTTGTAACTTTATAATAAGTTTGTTTCCATTCTTCTTTTTTAGGTATTTTCTTGCTATTCTCACATTTTCTGTTTTTTTAATGTTTATTTATTTATTTTGAGAGAGAGAGAGAGGCAAGGAGGGGCAGAGAGAGATGGAGAGAGAGAATCCAAGCAGGCTCCCTGCTGTCAGCACAGAGCCTGATGTGGGGCTTCAACTTACAACCGGTGAGATCATGACCTAAGCCAAAATCAAGAATCAGATGCTTAACTGACTGAACCACCCAGGTGCCCCCTGTTTATTTTCTTTTAAAGGTGGTTTTTAGTATCATTTTGTCAAATATAAAATACATATCTGCAGTTTTATATTTGAGGAAAATAAGTTTGACATTTATGTAGCTACTGAATGCTACTTAAAGACAAGTATTTCATTTCATATTAACAATACAGAAATTTTTATAGATACAGTCAAGACTTAATGGGGCCCTCATTGCTTTATCAAAACATGTTTTTATTACAGTTGGATATAAAAGGTTACAGTTTAAGAGCATGTCCAGTTTTTAAAAATCATATAATTATTTTATTTGTTTATTTTGAGAGAGACAAGTGGGGGAGGGGCAGAGAGACAGGGAAACAGAAGATCTGAAGGGGACTCTGCATTGACAGCTGAAAGCCCGATGCGGGACTCGAACTCAGGAACTATGAGATGATGACCTGAGCCAAAGTTGGCTGCTTAACTGACTGTGCCACCCAGATGTCCTTATAATCACTGGGCTTTTTTGTTTGTTTGGTGTTTTTAAGAGGATTGCATTTTTTAGGCAACTTCCAGTAGAATCTGATGACTTCTGCATGGTAATTACAACATCCCACTAAACCTCATAGCCTTTTCCAACTCCTTCAAATTCAACATGTGCCTAAGCCAATTTCACTTCTCACTATCCTGTCATTTATGAATTTGGTCAAGAAATGTTGATTGAGCATCTGCTAAGAGAAATGCTGATTAACAGCCAAGAGGATGGGCTCTAGGCTGCCTCGATTTGATTCTGGGTTTGGCCATATACTCCTTGGGTGATCTTGTGCAGATTAGTTCACAATCTGTGCCTTAGTTTTCTTATCTATAAAATTGAGATAATAGAATACCTACACCACAGATTATTGTGAGGAATAAATGACCTAATAAATGTAAAGCACATAAAATAGTGCCTGGCCTATAATAAGTATTAGTTTTGTAAATAATGTTGTGTGTATTGACCAGGCTGATACTAGAGTGCTGAAGTAAAATTATAAATAAGACAGTTTATAGTTTTTGACTTTATAAAGGCATCCCAGTAAGGGGAGAAAGATGAAATTCAAGTAAATAGATAAAAAGAGTTGATAATTAATAGTAAGTACTTTAAGGAAACCAACTGATACTAAGGAAAATATGGGGGAGTCATTTTGGGAGCTAGTGCAGTATTCTAGTTGAGCAGTGATAGTTTGGGATAGCAATAGAACTGGAAAGAAGTGGATACATTTGAGATATCCCTTAGGGATAATTAATAATAAATGGATTTAATTTGGTGGCTAAAGGAGAGGGAGAAATCAGGAATGAACCCAAGTTGCTGATTTGAGTAACTTGCATGGTTGTATTATTACTGAAAGATTAGGCAAGGAGCACACAAGTTTGGTGGAGAAATAAGACTGGTTTTGGACAGTTAGGTTAGAAATGTCTATGAGATGTCCAAAATGTCAGGCAAGGGGCGCCTGGGTGGCTTAGTCGGTTAAGTGTCCGACTTTCGCTTAGGTCATGATCTCACGGTTCGTGGGTTTGAGCCCCGCGTC